GGATGTGCAGGACGTGTTCGATGAGCACCTGATGAAATTCATGCAAACAATGGGGAGGCCGTGCAAACTCCGCGCAGAATGTGGCCAGAATCAAACCCAGCATCACTGTGTGCGCAGCAGCACTAACCAGCACGCCATGTATTTAATACCTGCTGCTTAGTCTGAATCGATGCATGACCTGTCCTTTAAGCATCCCCTGAATGAAACCGACTAAGAATAAAATGTTCTTTTTGTGATGGGAAAACCAATCATAAAAAAATAAAATAAATGTTAAATCTGGGCTAAAAACGGAGTTTATTTAACTAAAGTTCGGGAGGGATGACAACGACCACGCTCAATCATTCCCAGCCATCGGTGATTAGCAATCACTCCCTTCGTCCTTCAATCTAGCCCCGGGTTCCCCCTCCACTGCTGCTGCGCCACCTAACTCTAACAAGTGGGTTGAGCCAAATATTCCCTCTAAGTGTTGATAAGTGCCGTCACTATGATGGCAATCGGGAGTATTCATCTCGGCAAGGAAAGTGCAATCCAATATACAGTGAGAGAGTCGGGCAGTTCAATGGATTTAAAAATCAGATTTGGTCTATAATCAGTGAATTGTTAACAAAATAATAAAGCGCCCTGGTGGTTGTGTTTTGATGAAAGGGACAGTGTTTGGTATTCATCAATGATCCATGGTAAAAAAAAAAACAGCAAAAAGATATAAAGAAAACATTCCCAAAGTATTCAGCATGTCATATCAATATGCTGAATTGCATGGGACAGTGTTAAGTGACTTGCAGGAGCTTCAGTTTTCCAGCTGAAAAGATTCATATTTCCTCAGCTTTATCAGGCAGGAGGCAGTCAAAAGAATAGAGAAGACTCCGGAGGACTTGAATTAATGATGGTGAACAAGGAAAGTAACGGTAATCAGGTAATGAACTGAGATTTAACTGGCTGTCACTCGATATTTAAAAGTTAAAATGAATGAACATGTGAATTCAAGCATTATGTGGACTTGGACCTCTGACATTTCTTCTCTGTCTGGTTAACTTTAGTGTCACATTAAATGAAATGGAATTCTTCTACTGTAGCTGCAGCACATTAGATTACTCTTTTTTAAATAAAGCCATCACAATCTGGTTATCTAATATTTACAGACTGCATTATGTGCTAATAGTCCTACCACCTCTATAAATACACAAGAAACTGTTATGTTACAGAATGATGTCAACTGACTGAGTGTATACCTAGAATCTTGGAAGAATTGTTAGGAACAGATATTGAAAAAAATAGTGGGAATTCATCAACGTTTTCCAAAGGCCGCAAGAAGAACAGAATCACCTGGAAGGTGTTGGCCATATCGCCTATACTTCACTATCACAACAGTAAAAGACAGCAGACACTTAGTGCTGAGGAACAGGCATGGGTTAGTACCACACTGACAAGTGAAAATAATTAATGAAATACATGGAGTTACTACCGTAGAGCATTCTCCACTTCTTAGGGTGGTAGTATTATTACATTTTCAACCTGCCTGTACTGAGTGGAGTACCTTGTCTCCAAGTGTATCCAGTATAAATGGGATTTAAACTCACAACCTTCCATTTACAAGCACAGGGCCCTGACTGTGCCTCCGCACTGCTCTCATGGAACTAACCTCTAGTTCGTTTGCAGCTTTAGATCACCATACTGCAGGCTCAGTTCATATTTCTGACTTAACTTGCTCACTTCCCTTCTCCAAAAATCTCCTATCTCTGTGCTGGTGTCTTCTTCACAGCCTGCCCTGTATCTCCACTGGCCTCCAGAGAGGGCGTGCTCTGCTCACGAGTGGGAGAGGCTCCCGAGGCAGACGCAGGTCAGGGCGCCTCCTCTCACCTCTGTTCCAGGCGTCTGCCGCAGCATCCAGATGAACTCCAGCACGGCCATGAAGATCGCCACCAGCAGCCCACACACCAGCACCACGAAGATGCCGCCGATGTTCTCCATGCCCAGGCCTGCGGACAGCACACAGACACATTACTTCAGCCACCCTGGCTCAGCAACATTAACTAATTAACATTAGTCCATCCCTCCTCACAGCTCACAAGATCTGTTTTCCTGGGTCTGCTTAACACACTTTCATGTGGTCTCTAGCAGTCTGAAACATGCTTTGCCAGAGATCTCCATCCTTTAAACCTTAACAATGACTTCCTTCTGATTTGCTACAGTTCTAATCATGGTATAACACATTTTTGTGAGGTATGAAATGTGTTACTGACTTTGTAGTGAGGTTTACCACAGACCAGGTGGCTTTGCAAACACCTCCTTGATGGTGGACTGCTGCACACTGAAGTCCATCCAGGCCCTGATAACCACCACAGTCACTGTTCCCAGTTCCAATCTCACTTATGGCTGTGAACTTTGGGTGAAGACTAAAAGGATGTGGTGGATGGCACATGGAAGAATTACTCCCTAACTCTAGCCTGGCAAAAGCAGACTGTATAAACCTGTAATGTTATTTTATCTTTGTTTTCTTCTCCTATCGTACCTTGCGCACACAGATGCCACACAGGTATTTTCAGGACATGGGTTCAGAGACGGTTTGAACTGCTCTAATAGTGTTCTGTCTAGGAGAGAAATTGAGTTTTGTACTGTTATGCAAGGTTAGACAGAAAGGTTAGCACTGCTCTTTTAGGGCCCACAGCAGAAATTCTTATTGGTGTAGAAATGTCAAGCTCTGTGTGAGTAACACCAATACCTTCAAGCTGAAATCTGCTATTTGTGTGCGTGTGTGACATCTAAAAATCCAAATGTAACCTGAGCATCTCTATATTAAAAATAACAGAAGAATGAAATGAAAACATGTGGCAAAGGAACAAGTTAAGGTTTATTTCATGCTGGAAAAAAACAGTTTGCCTGTGAAGCCTTCTTCAGGTGTCAGCCTTCTACTGGCTGACTCCACAATGAAAATGTTGTTTCTTTTTTTCCTCTTTTCAGCATGGAATAAACCTTTACTAGTTCCTTTACAGCCTACGCATGCTGACGCAGCTACCTACTTGAAAACATGTTGGTTTGTCGTATAAAAAATGATTTCTGCCAAAACAATTTCAGGCCTCAGATTTCGGGTATCAAGCACACAAAACTGTACAGTTATTTTCATCTGGTGGTTCATCACTGAGGGCAAGAGGGCACTGATAAAATAACAGGCTGCAGGAGACACACACAGAGAGCTGCCCTTCTCGTTATCAGCACTGGAGTCCAGCACATGCCCTGCCCTGCTGCTGCCCCCAGGAGAGGTCTGCAATGTAGTTACCAGGGGGCAGAAAACTCCAGCAGTTCTCTGGAGCACAAACCAATTACAAATTGTTGAATTGCATGAAAACTGTGAAAATCACCCTGCTTTGAAGGCAAGCAGCTCCAGAAACACATCTGCTGTGCTACACGGTGCAGATTAGCAGGAACCACAAAAGAACCTCTGACAGTGCTCCAGACGGTGAGAATAATGCACCATACTGACAGGGTAGCATTATCACTTAGCAGCTTATTTTGTATACCACTATTTTTAGTAATAACTTGTAATATTTTCTCTTGAAAATGCAGGAGCATTTTTAATGAAGAAACAGTGTCAATATCACACCATCCACATGGGCAGCTTGTGCGAATCTCGTAATGAAGTGTCACACTGTGGCAACCAACAGGCCTTTGGTAATGCCCGCTGGATAAAACTTCTGAGCTACCAGCCCCATGCTTGACAGAACAGCTTTGTCAGTGACAGGATAAATAAAACCCTCTTTCTTGCAGACCCCTTGTCTCAGGTCCCTGCAGAATTTCATTAAAGAGAGAGGTTTCGCATGCCCTGCCCGTTCATCCCTGGTGTGGAGTGAGGAAGGTGGCATGCTGGTACCTTTGGCTCTGTGGTCCTCCTCTTTGGGGCACTTGCCCCCTTCCCACCACTTCCTCTTCAGGATCTCCAGACGGTTCTCCTCCTGCAGTTTGAGGATGGCCAGGTCAAACTCGTCCCGGTACACGGAGCCTGGGTGAGGGAGAGAGGGGGAGATGGGCATTTGTACAGGGTGTCACATGTCTTTCTGACCTGTGTCAGTGTAATAAAAAATATCAGCATACACTGCATTTTATCTCACAAGCAGTAAAACATGGACAGAGTATAGTCTGTTAAAAATAGCTGCCCTATTACAGATAGGAAACTATTACAGATAGTAATAACTCACAACCTTCCAGTCGTAGGAAACAGAATTACAGAATAGATGGTGAGAAGTTCTTTTTCCTCTGTTACAGCTTCCCCAAAGAGGAATTAACTACTCTGCACAGCTCACTGCTACCTGGAACGTACACATCACAAGCAACTTTTCCCTCTTTCTCACAGCCAAAGAAGGCTCCACAGCTGAAACATTGCGTTTCTTTTCTTCCCTTTTTTAAGCATGGAATATATCTTCACTTGTTCCTTGCCTACGCATGCTGACACAGCTACCTACTTGAACCACATTACAAGCAGGTGTCTCCTTGATTTCTTTCTTGACACTGCAGTTGAGCAGCGGAAAGTAGAGATACTGTATTTGGCTCCCACTAGAGGACCATCACATATATCTGTCTGTGATGATGCACAGTCCCGCTGGCATGTGGGCAGATACAGGAGGGGCTTATGTATGGTGTGTACAGCCCTTTGTCTTATGAGGACTATCTTTCAGATTATGATTTAGCGCCAGCCTTCCGTACCCAGTGGCATGCCGATGCCATAGCCCTTAGTGTCAAGCAGCCCCCCAATCTGGGTGAGGTTGCAGTTGCGCTGGCGGTAGTACTCGTTCATAGTGCTCTCCAGCAGGTAGGCGTAGTTGGAGTTGAGCACACGGGCGATGCCCTCTTCTGTGCTCTTCACAAACACGCTGGGCTGCTTGGAGTGCATGAAGTTCCACATCCGCTGGTATGTCTGGTAGCGCGAGTTCTGTGGACAGGCAGGAAGGGTGAGAGAGGGGGTTGTGGGAGGTGAGGAGGAAACTCCTTTGTGGGCAAAGTACATATTAAAAAAAAACTAATGACTGAAAACTCTGCAGAGAATAAGTGAAAGGAAGCGTGTAAGGCCATCACGAGACAGATCAGACTGAGAATGGAATGGACCACAGAGCTCTTAATAACCATGGGTTTTGTTGCACAGGAACAAAGTTTGAACTAGCAACATCTGGGACTTATGGACACTGTGCAAAAAGCCTGAGAATAACTGGTATGCTTATATATTTATTAGTATATATTATGTATATAATTATTTATTTATGATTATATATATATAATCCTACTCCATTGGGCCCCTGAGCAAGGCCCTTAAGCCCAACTGCTCCAGGGGCGCTGTACGATGGCTGACCCTGCGCTCTGACTCCAAGCTTCTCTCCCTATCTGTGTGTCTGTGTCTCATGGAGAGCAAGATGAGGTATGCAAAAAGATGAATTCCTAATGCAAGAAATTGTATAGGGCTAATAAAGTTACGTTATGTTAAATGGCTGACCCCAAGCAAGTGTGTCTCATGGAGACATGCTGGGGTATGCTGAGGATAAGTGCTGATGTCATGCAGCAAGACACCTGGTAGGGTCTGCTCAAGGAGGGTTACCTGGAAGAAGGTCATGGTGGAGCCCCCCTGCATGGTTCCATACTCGATGGCTGTCTGGTCAGCCAGGTCATCCACAGACTCGATGGGCACCTCCATCCTCTGGACAGTGAGGAAGGCTGCCAGGTTGGCAGTGTAGGAGGAGATGATGATCAGGGTGAAGGCCCACCTGGAACAGAGGAACATTGACTCTGCAACAGCACATTTCAGCACACATAAAGAGGATTCTTTCAGGGAAACAACATTTCTGTACGATTCCTGACCATGTCACCATGTATTCCTGAGCATTTCACCATGTTATAGTACATTAAGGTTCATATTACTACTCTCCAAAAGTTGAAAATCAAACAAAAAACCTTACATTTAACTGATTTAACCCTCCACCTCAAGTCTTAAGCTGTCCTAGCAGTTAGGGACCCCAGACAGAGCAGTCCAGGTGTGTGTCTCACCAGACTCCACTGACACAGCGTGTGGAGAGGGCCCGAGGTGCGATGGTGGAGCCCTGTTGCATGAATCCACCCACTGGGAACCAGAAGCTGTTCCCCAGTGAGTACTGGTTGATCAGCAGGTTACAGCGTCCCTTAAGGCAGGGGTGTGGATTGTACCACTCGTACGGGGTCAGTCTGCAGAGAGAAAAAGATGGAGTGGGGTTTGGCATGTAATAGATTGACAAAAATAGACTCTTAGACTTTAGAAGAAAAATAGACTTTTAACAGGGGTGTTATTTTAAAATGAAAAACAAACCAGAAAATTTCCCAAAGGGTCAAAGGGAAGCTGTAGTGTATAGAAAGAATTGCAAAAGTTTTGCAATTTGTCTGTTCTGCGGGTCAGAGCCAACACTGATGTGTATACTGAGTTCTGTAAAAGCCGAATTGTCTCCTGTTCCCCTGCTTAAGAATTTCAATATTGATACAATTCATTCATATATTTTAAAAATCAAAGTGCAGCAGCTGGGTGGCTGGGTGATTAGCACCCATACCTTACACCTTGGGTACTTGGTTTGGTTTCCTCCCACATGTCAAAGGCATGCAGCCTGGGTTAGCTGTTATCTCCAAGCTGTCCATGTGTTTGCATGTCCTGTGCTGGACGGGCGTTCCATCCAAGGTGTAGCTCTGTCTTGTGCCTTGTGCTTCCAGGATGGGCTTAGGGTTACTCTTGCTGTGACCCTTATCAAGAGTAAGTGGCTTCTGATAAACAATGGACATCTGGAGCATTATGTTCTATTTTGTACAGTCTGCTGTCCATTCACTATGTACATTACTTTTCTAATTACTTACTATTATTATTGGTAATTATAATGATTAGCGATTATTATTGACTTGCTTTGTCAGTCAGATGCAATTCACATGCTTGATATTCACAGTTATTTGGTTTACACTGTGCTTTGTGAAATGTGCTGTTTTATGTGCTTTGATGAAAGCAATTAAATAATAACATTTTAAAATCAGGGTGGGGGGAGGGCTCCTGCTCTCCTCAAATCACCACCCTCTTATTTCATCTAAGTGGTGTTACTGCTGCCGTGGGACAGAAAAAGACATGCAGCTACAAATCCTGACCAGATGCTGCCTGGCTGCCAAAATAAAACGGTGTAAATCAGCTAACAGAAAAAATGATGTTGTAGGTTGTATTGCATCTGTAGTTTTGCTGCACAGCACTCCCACCAATTTGTAAAGCAAATAACAGCTAAACTGACCGAGGCCCAGACCCAGCTGGACTTAGGACTGAAAGCGTGCCTGAGCTGACTTCAGCCTACTCATGGAAACTGGATGGGGTGAAGACACTACTGCACTTGATCACCTCTTGTTCAGCCCTGCAGTCCGTCTGATACCACTGCAATCCAGGGCTTGGAGGCTGAATAGGAACTGGTGGGAAACTAGTACATTTCAAAACTGGAAACCAGCACTCATGAAACAGCTCAACGCTGAAGACATTTGAAAGCAGATTGCCTAAGGCTACCATGGGGGAGCGAACAGATGAACTCATTTTAATATCACCGCACACACAAGAAATATTTCCTTCCCATGTTCACATTCTCTTCCCAACCACAATACTCCACGTGTGCCACCAGATGGTGATATGGGATCACACAGCACTTACCTGGCCACCAGAAACAGCACACAGCTGACAGCCAGGTAAGCCAGCAGCATGAAGAGCCACACTCCAGGGGAGAAGGGGTCCAGAAAGGAGAAGTATCCTGGCCTGCGGCCCTGTGACACACAGACACACACATCACTGAGAAACTTTGACCCTGCATGAAAGGCAGCATTTTACACAGGGGATTATATAATGCATGGCATGAACTGCCATTCTACACTGTAGAGGCTGCCACACTAGCATTTCAGAAGTTCAGCTTGGTGCTCTCACGCTGCTCTCATGATGCCATAAAAGAAAAGGTGTGCATTATCCTGTCTTAGAATGGGGTGACTGTGTGGTTGGCTGCTGTGTGAGTGGACCATGCGCTCTCCACATGTGCTGCCCTCTCTCCATTAATGGTAAAGTCCCTGTGCGGATGTCTCATGGTTTCAATCAGGTGTGCCACACCTCTGTGAACTTCTCTATACACCATGACTTCACTGTGTGAAGTTATCATTCTCTACCCTGCTTTTACTGCAGCTACCATTTATAATACATCTTGCTGCATCAGACATTTCTAATGGATTGCGTTCACCCTGGAACTGCGATTCCTTTATCATGGTGACAGAGCTCAGAATCTGGAAATTCAGAATTTTCCTTGGCAATCAGTTTTCCATGGATGATGGATGCAATATTCATTAAAAAGGTTTACAGCAATAAAAGAACAACCAACCATTCAAAAATACACTTTGACGGAAAACCAAAAAAACATTGTACTTAAAAAAAAAAAAGAACCCTTGTCTTGTTATTAGCAATGCTGAAACAGAGCTGAGCAGTACCCGATAAAATCAATGGGGCCATGCAAAGGACAGCACTTGACATCTGGGTGATATTGGCAGCTTTGTGCTCATGGTAGGCTGTAGCTATTGGCTAGTCTGGCATTTGGAGCCAGCAATGTCAAGCTCAATGCCAGTTTACTGAGGGAAACCACATGTGTTGAAGACGGATCTGACATGTCTGACATGGGGGGCAGTGTGTGAGCAGTTTGTGTGCAATCTTGCAAGCAACAGGTTAAAAACTGCACCTTGTGTCAGTTTTCGTGCTTCTATTGCCAATGACTGTTATGTAGGCTTACTGAGACCGAAGATTACTGTTAGTAATGAGGAGTATCGTTTATGATGAACACAGATCCCTGCAGATTTGGTATAATCCCAGTATTTGTGGTGTGCATGTGTCTGCAAGATTTCTCTCTGTAGATATTACCCAAAAGGAAATACCTGTGGGGAGTGTGTCTGCTCTGCACAATGCTTCATGGAGTTCTGTGCTAATGTGGATATATCGCAGGATAAAGGAGAGCTGTGTGTCAAAGGGACCATTTCTTGTATTTTTATACATACATGATTTTTACAAATTTTAACTGTCACTACACTGCAGCAGCTAACACAGTAAATATGTGCCTGGACTTTGGTGCAGAGTTTTGGCATTTTCAAAGCAGGACACAAAAGGAATGCCCAATTCTCCTACAGCATATTGGCCAAATAAGACTTCAGCCATCTATATCAGGTGCAGCGTGGTGCTCAAGGTCAATGTACTGTATGTGCTTGTGTGTATCTGAATGTTTTGTGCTTGGTATTTTGCCAGAGTGATGCAATGACCACTATAGCATGACAGGAAGTACTGTATCATACAGGATTGATTATCTAGAGTGAGATGTGGAAATCCTTGCTGCTGGCCTGTACCATGCAACCAAGTCCATAGTACATTGATGACACAGTGAACTCTAAGTATGTCAATATTTGACTCATGACTATTTGGAATGATCAGTTTCTTATAACTTAACAGTGATGTGCATGATGGTTCTTCCTTTCCTGAGTGCTGGTTTGTTTTCTCAGGGATTTTAGATAGGAATTTCTTATAGTGTACCTGCGTCCTGTTCCTCAATCTGTAATTATTTTTGGCTGACTGAAGTATATTTGTCTCTTATGGGTGCTTTCACACCAGGCTGTTCTGTCTCTGTGTGCCCTTCCTATATTGTATATTCTGAGCAGGGGAAGGAAGGACTGTTTCCTCTCTGAAACTCCATTAAGAGACATGCTTTTTACCATGAGTTCTTCTTTGCAAGCTAGCTGCGTCAATGCTGTGGCTCACAAAAAAGCTTTGAACCGATGGTTTAGCAGCTGTTATAATTCCACAGGTCAGATCAAAGCCTGATTGGATGTGACGGGCAAAGAAGCCGTCACTCTTCCTGAGTGACAGGTCTAGCAAATTGTGTTGCTTTTGATCAATACTGGGATAACTAATTATCTTTATCTGCAGCATTCATACTCAGGCCTGTGAAAAAGGGCTCAGACTTAAAATCTTTCAGATTCACAGAAATAAACATGCATTAACTTCAGAATAAATCTTTTCAGGTCTTGATGTTGATCTTTTCATTAATAGATCTGCACTCTTTCAAACAATAAAGAACACAATCTTGGACAAGCTGGTTTTCTAACAGTGAAATTCTGCCCTTTAAAAAAATCTCACCATCACTTCCTTCTACAGGAATTTTATCTAATCCTTGGGATTCTAAAAAAAAAAAGCATCTTCTTGGATTTAAAATCTGTATTGCAAGGCACTAGAAAACCGGGAGAAAATGTTTACATTTTTGTCCCATTAACTTAAATTCTGGGATAAAGACATTTTGTGAGCAGCATACCTGCTGAGAGACACCTGGCTCCAAAATGTCATTTCTGTCCTGTTGCTCACAAAGAGACCACAGCAGAGCAGAGGTGATGTTTAAGCTAAGCATGTTGTCTGTCTCTCTACATGGGAAGTACTTCTTTCTCAGTTTGAATTTAATTCTCTTTATGTGTGAGCACATTACTGTGCTGGGCAGCCTGCGGCAAAGAGGAAGAGGATAAAGGAAGGGGGCCTGTTTTGCACCTGACACCTTCAAAACCCATGTCAGATTGATACACAGCTCCCATCAATGTTATTTTCAAGTTTGCAGGCATCAAGGGCAGAGTGTAAGCAGTTTTGTGCACCTAGCAGATAGGAGTGAAGCTAATTCACACACTGTCCCAGCCTCCCACAATCCCTGCATCTGTGAGATGAGAAAACAGAGCGTTTGTATATTCTCAGCATGATGAGAGAAGAGGCTGCACTTTTGAAATATAACAATATATCCGAGAACTCAACAGAACCTGTAGATGTGCTCCTTTATTGTAGTCATATTGTATCAAGGTATTTCCTAGCAACTGCTGAAAGATGGGATAGGAACTTCTTTTTAAATGAAATTTTAAATGAAAGAAATACATATAAATAATTTTAAAGAGATCCATTCTTCTTCGGATCCATTCTTCTTCACTATTGATTGGGGGTAAAGTTTTCATTTGGAGTCGGATATAGGCACAGGGAGAACTACAGAGGTAATGGTGTCTGAAATCAATATTGGATTAAAACTGAAATAGTGGAGCAAAAAATAAATAAAAGGACGCTTGGTACAACAGTAGCAAAGTGTTGGCGGCCAGGAGCACAGGGTAGTATTATGGATTGCCAGGTCATCCTCTGTACCTCTGTAAGGAGAGACATTCCTGTGGTTGAAAGCACAAGCTGAGTTTCTGTTGAGACGCATGAGTGGCATGTTTGCTCCTGATGACTAGCCCGAAGAACTAAGCTTGTGGGAGAGATATTGGAAGAAAGTCATGGTCACATTACGATGACCTTTCTCTGCCCCGTCACTCAAACTGCGCTGCTGCAGAGGAGCATCTAAGAGGAATACATCAGCACCTGATAGTGTCGGTGCTGGCATGCTCCTGTGATTGAAATGCCCATTATCTTCGTAGAAAAACAAAGTGTAGAGAAAACAAATCAGCAAAATCCACTTATTCATCTCACCACCTTTTTCTCTGACAAATCCAATATGTTCCAGCATTTAACATGTGTCAGCGTGACAGTGTGTTTCATCAAGGTGAAAATGACATTTTCCTCATCTTATTCACCACCCCCAACCTCCACTGCAGAACAAATCTAATTTTTCTCATTTCATTCTCACTTTTTCTTTCCTGCTCATCCCTGTCTCTAATGTCCTTTCTGCAGCCCTTTCCCGTCTTCTAACTCTCTCACCATGCCCCTGTAGTGTTTCTGCTTCTCTCTCACCATGCCCCCAAGGCATCTCTGCCCCTCCCTCACTGCGACCCTGCAGCATTTCTGCCCCTCCTTCACCTTGGTGCTGCAGTGTCTCTACTCCTCTCTCAGAGTGACCCTGTGGGGTCTCTGCTCCATCTCTCACAGTGGCCCAGCACCGTCTCTGCTCCCCTCTCAGCATGACCCTGCGGTCTCCTTAATTCTGTCCCTCGCTTAGCTGTCCCTTTCTTCTTTCCTCCTCCCAATCTTCTAAAATTTGTTACAAGCTTGTCTCCTTCTTCAGAACATTAGGACATCATCATTATACATTGTGATGCCATTAGGGACCTTGTTCTGGGGGAAAATCCAGTCCCTCAACACCCCTTGTGGCATCACATTATAATTTGCATGCTAAAATGCTTAAGATTTTAACCTTCTCCTTTGAACCTCTTAAGCCAGCCTATTTTATTAGATAAAATATTCTGCTGATTTCAAACACAAAGCTTTTTCTAAGAGAGATAAAGTTAAAACTTTTTGTAATGCAAGAAGGATTGGTATTGAATGCACCTAGGGCTGTCCATAGGGTGAGCTTTAACTGTGACATCACCGCATAAACAGAGCAGCTGCTGCTATCAATTACACACAGCAGCCTGCTCAATGAAGTCCTCACCAGAAGTATCTACTGTTCATACAAATTGGGGAAAATACCCTTCTGAGAGGCTATATTTGTTAGCACAAGCTGCATCACAAGCTGCCTCAAGCACATACAGATCCAAGATTGGCATGTCACCTTCAGTTTAAGAAGAGAATTTGATTAATGGTCTGCTGTTCTTAAATAAAGGTATTGGAATTTTAGCGTAACCTTGTTCTAATGGCCAGGGTGGCACTGGTGTGCTGGACAGGTCAAGATTAATCGGAAGCAGAACATCGATTAGGCAACTATCTTCTATAGAACACACAGTGCCTGGATGCACAGCTCTGCTCCATAACACTGAGGGTGCAGAAGTGGTTGCCATATTTTGCAGCCAGTAGCAATACTGCTGTCAATTCCACAGAGGATTGGAGTGGCTTGCTTATACACATCTTGTAAGCAAGTCCAATTTAATTTGACAAAGGAGTTAATATGACATCAGGCCTTGGGCAAAGGGGTCAAAGGTGAATCCTCACTCACCATGTGGACTCTGTACATGATGCTGATCCCCAGGGTCATGAAGGGTTTGGAGAAATCGATGACCTTCTCCCTCTCGGCAGTGATGGTCAGTCCAGCCACTGCCAGGTCTGCTTTCTGAAAGATACGTAAGATAGCACAGGGTTAACCCTCAGTTAACCCTGCTTCCAGCTTCCAGTGACAGACAGAAACTTTGGAATATCAGTGAGCTTTATCCTTGCAAAGAGCATAACAATAGTTAAATGTAGGCAAAATAGTTTTGTTTAGTCCAGTTTTGATACAGATTCAGACTCTATAACATGGAGACAAGTGGTGACATGTCCTGTGCTTGGCAATCTGCTGGGGCCGTGTTTAAGGAGGAAATTGGATTTATATTCTTTACACAATTAGGAAGCCAGATACTGAACTTCACTGTACAGAGGCTCAACATTAAATTGAGACTCACACTCATGTTCATTACACTGTAACCACTCCTGAACTGACCTGGGTCATCTATTAGCCTTATCTAGGTATAGCAGGAAAATAATCTCTTCTATTGATAAGAAATAAGAAAGCCCAGGGGCATCTGGAAGTGATAATGGTGTGTTTATTCTTTCTATGATTGTAGGGGCTCAGCTGTAAAAGGCTCAGCAACTTTTCCCAATACAAAGCTCATTAACAAGAACTCATCTGCTCTCTACCTTTCCTTTCAGAGTTTTCAAAGTGCCTGTCTGTTGTAGTTTCTTCTATTAAACTCTGTACTAATTGGCTGTGGACCTCGTCCCTTCCCCTTGGAGAAGGGGGGAGGTCCACAGTCTATTCTTGTCAATTCAGGAGATCTCGTCTCACAGATCGATCCCCATTAGTCTGTTCCACTTTCTGTCATTTCCTGCCACAGACTTTTTTCTTTCATTGTTTTCTCCTTTCATTTCAGCTTCCAGTGTGTGTGGACACAGTTCACCCACTTCTCATGATCTTTGAATGCAAAAGGACTGAGGTGAAGAAGTATCTCAGTTTTACACAGCTCACACTGGTTTTTCGGCAGTCTACAGAATGCTATGTGACCTTGGTTGCCATCCTTTTCACACACCCCCCAATCAGATGCGAGTTTAAAATAACATCTGTGGAGGGGTTAATTTTTCTCTTAAGTATTGTACTCAGTACAGTCACAGAGGGATACCTTTTTTTACACAGAATGCATAGAATAAAGTACCAAACCATACTGCAGAGGCTGAAACACTTGGGGACATTTTCACAGCTCCTCCTGACACTGATAAATTTGTCCAATTTCAGTGGGGGTCAAGCGAGCACCAAACGAGCTGCTCTGTTACTATTCTTGTCTTAAGTGGTTAAAAGCAAGCGGAGCATCCAAATCTACAATCAGCAACTGAAAGTGATCGAGGTAATATATATATATAAGACTTCCACTGAGCAAGGTGAGCTGGTGGATTTTCCTCACCCACAGGTCTTCAAAACCTGTGAGGCGGTAGAGGAAAGACTAAATGCAATCATTTATTAAACTTATTTTGTTCCAAAGTAATTACATCACTAGAGAACAGTTTACACAGTGGTTTAACATCATTTGTTCATATGTTGAGATAATCAGCATATTACTTGCTGCAAGTTTATTATTTCCAAACTTGGGAGCTTTTTTCTTTGTGTGCACAAAGAGTGTTTTTCTCTTGTTCCACTGGCAGCAGGAATCATGAAAAAGAAGAGATCACTTTAACACAAACCAGTTTTGTTTGAGAATTGCTCTCCTTAGACACATAACAGCCTTGTAGCAGTTGGGTTTACATTACAACATCAAGGAATTTCCCCAGGTGCCTCATTCGTGTTAGTGGGACTGGAAATTTCTTTCATGTTTTCTCCAACAATTTTTATCAGCAGATGCATAAACCATTCTCTTCATTCTCATGAAGCTAAGCTGTTTGTCAGGAGGTACAGCTCTCTGTGGACTGTTTGTTAATTCCTCTGGCTGTAGAAAGGGGGCTGAGGCCTAAACGGCAACAAATGCCTTTCATTCCTCCATAAAGCTAGAGGGAGGGGAATGGCCAGAAACCATGTCCCATGTCACTGGCAGCGACACACTTCCCTGCAACGTATGAACATGAGCAACCAAACGTGAAACTGCCCACATCTCTTCCCTAAACACCTGTACCACAATCTGACTGCATCCCTACAGACCTCACACAGCCTCCTGCGGCAGCTCTTGGGACTCTACTAACAAGACGCCACTTTGCAAGGTCACGACAAGGGAACACACTTAAAGAGAAACAAATCGGGGCAATAACAAGAAGAGGCAGTTTCTCTTTGTATCTTTTGCTAGTTGTTAATGCCCTCCAGTAGACCAGTGAATTAAGATGGATAACCAATTAATGACCCTCCTTGCCTTGCCTGTCCAGGTCTCTTCCATTCCCCAATTCCCATTCTAACAATTTCCTTCTCCAAGACGAGAGAACAAAAAAGATTGTATATTTTGTATACCATTTCTGAACAAGGGCTTTTAAAATGAATTTCACTGTACTTTTTCACAATACAGTACTTTGTGCAGTATTGGTGTCCTATAACACAGCTCACTGCATTTAAGTCAGGTCAAGAGCTGTCTGTGAACAACGATGCTTGTTTTCCACTGCAGATCCTGATTCAACAGTGCTTTTTCAGTGAGTGTCAACATGACAGATGCTTTGTACTGCACTGGTACAGTACATACAGCACCCCATGTTCTTGGCTAAAGTGTGAAGTAATCAATGTCTTCAAGGTGAGAGATGGTCCTTTCTAGCACATACTATAACATAACAGATGAGAAACGAGCAGCAGAGCAGAGTTTCTTATGAAAAAGGTTTGGCAAAAACAATTTATAGAAAAATGACTTTACACAGTGGAACATGAAAAAAATGTGTGTTTCTGTGCATTGTTCTCACACCCAGTCTGCTCTGTAGCCCAGAAGATAACCACTGTCTCCTGCAAAACCCCTGCCCCTGAGGAGTGCCTGCACTGCACTGCTCAGAACCTGACTTTGAAAGTCATCTCTATCTATAATTAATGTAAGTAATGCACCTTCTCTTATAGTTGCTAAGGCCAATGGCAAGCAGAGAGAGAAGGTCACAGAGATCGGACTATCATCACATCTACAGGAATGCAAGAAACCAAGTTGGGGAAGCATGTCAGTGTTACACAGTTCACACTGGTTCGGCAACAGGCTTCAGAGTGACCCCCAGTTTTCCTCCCAGAGTGAGAGACCTTACAGGAGGCCCCTTTACACACACCCTGGACAGACGGCTGTTGAAACAATTGGCTCACTTCTACTGTGAGTGATGAGGCAAAGCGTTAGTGGAGTCCTGATGTTTCGAAATCACCATGTCACTACTCTACTGATTAGCTGCATCTCTAACTCTGGCCTGCCCATAACACATCTTCATAAAAATGATTTAAAAAATATTTTTAGCATTTTCAATTATTACCTAACTCCACTGCTATGGGTGTTGTCACTGGCAATCTTTCAAGGGCATGCACACACGTCTGTATACTCAACAATATACCCGGGGAACTGAGACATCAAGGATGTTGATGAGTCAGGCTCACCTGGGACACTGCTAGTGCTTTTTAGAACATTCATGTCCTGATAACAAATATTTGGCTGCAAAGGCAAGAGCTTTCTCAAGATTAGCAAGTGTGTTCGGATGCATCCATAGTCGAAGCAGCACACTCACACAGACCTGCATCTGGGAACAGCATTGATTTCAGTGCACCTTGTGTTCGTGTCAATGGTCAGCCGGATTTAAAGAACGCACCCTGACGCAAGCAATATATATTTAGCAAATCACAATGAATCTCCTGGGCTGAAGACCTTAGCTCTAATTTTTAATTGTTTTTGTGTTAAAGCTTGCAAACAACTACAGCTTGCTTTCCTTTGTGAGGCTCAAATAATTTATTTTTACTGTGAAAAGTGTGTTCTATTTTTGAAAGCTTAATGGACTGACATTAAGTTTCCTAATCTACTGTTTCAAGCCCAGCCTTGTGAGAGTGGTGCAGGCAGAAACAGGTATGAGAGGGGGGTTTTGGACTGGTCTTGGGTACCAGTGAGAGCCGCAGTACTGACCCTGGAGATCAGCTCGCCCACCATGCCCGTCCAGGTGCCATTGGCCTCCGGGACGCCATACAGCCCGTCCCCCACCAGCCGGATCTTGTAGTTGAACTTGAGGATGTCGGCCAGTTCCCGCAGCATGTCCACGCAGAAGCCTTCGTAGCGCTCGTTGTCCTCCAGGTCCTGGTGGTTCTTCTTTAGCATGACGTAGGGGTTCTCCTACAACGAGACTGGCATGTGTTGTCACCTCAGAAGTAATCATCAGAGCAGAGCGGTGCTCTAAAAGCTACTAGACTTTCTCCATCCTTCCTGTCAGCTCGCTTTCTCATTTTTTGCGTTTAAGAAGCAGACAGTAATTATGATGCGTCACATGTGGCCAAGGAGGAAAACATGTTAATTTATGTGCTGGTTCTTACAACGCTGAGCAGGGATGAAAAAGCAAAAAACAAACAAACCTAGGCTTTACCTTGCTTCAGAATTTGATTTTGTCTTCAGAACTACTGCAGCTTGTGGTCCTTTTTATCTGCATTTCACCACTGAGAAACCAATGAACACTGAAATATTTTACCATAGGAAATTGATCTTTTCTTGCAGACTAATTTGCAGAAGTGGCTCTGAGCAGAACACCAAAATTCCCTTTCTTCAGAGCTCGGTTCAGGGGGAATTTGAACCTGTGCCTCTTAATACTTAATACCTAAGACTACAAATCTTAAGACTACTGCCAGCAAATTACATTTACTTCACACAAGTTTAGACGTATCAATGGGTCAAATCTACACCGTACAAACAGAGCACACTCCCCTCACCCTCCTGCCACTCGCAGAGCCATGTAACACACAGTATTTCAGCTGACAGACCAATGTTGGCAATAGTAGTTTTGCCCTAATTTCCTAAAACACCTAACACGGTTCTCGACTTTCTGACGACATATTAAGTTGTGTAGCTGGGGTACGTGACACATTTCAGATGATAAATACTTTCTCCAGCCAGTTTTACAACCAATTTGTAGCAACAAATTAGTGCAATACCTGCAATTAATTATGCTGCCCAGCCTTGGCAGCTCTGGTGCAACAGCTAAAGAGGTAATAAGCACCACAAGCATTTCCTACCTGTGATTACCATAGCTGTGCTCTGCCTTTCCCTAACATGCCTTTCTTCTTCTCAGACTTGCATTTATATTTAGACATCGCTGAAGGCTCTTTCAAAAAATAAAATCTACCTGAAGCTCCATAATAAAGCTAGTTATTTCTTGTTAGCAGTTAGGAATATTCTGTGTGCTAAATTTGTTTGGATTATTACTTCTTTAATTTTGAAGTCAACATGGAGATGTGTCTGGCACAGCAGTGAATCTGAGCTGTACCTGATGCCCACCAGTGTGGGCTGTGTAATGAAAGCCTGCTGAATGTAGGAAGGCCTCCTCCCTACCTCATATTCCATCTTTCATTACTACAGAGCCCCTTGATGTCCTGGTGATAATCTCTCAAAACAAAAGCAGTAAAACAGGAATCAGCATAATGCGGTTTAAAAATGAAAACAGTGTGCCCAATAATAACCAACACTACGGTTACAAGCTGGAGGAGACACAATATCAAGCACAAACCCAGCCCAGGGAGTGGATTTTACCTAAGCAAACTCATTTTACAGCTGCTTAATCAGCAAATCCCCAGGTACAGAAAACGGATGATTCAGTGCCGAATTTCCAGTTATGCATCAATAGCTTTTAACTAGCCATACAGGAATATAACCCTTTTCAGAAGGCTGAGTAAGAATAGAAAATGACTACTCATCACAGTCCAGGTATGGTACATTGTTCCAAGCAAAAACGTCCTTTATTACCACTGATTTTTTTTTTATTGAAGTGGGGAAAATCCTCCCGCATACTGATACAGACTGATTTTCTCATCACAGCCTTACAGAGCAGCAGACACGCCTATAAAGGGGAAAAACTAGTTCAAACATCTAGTCTCCAAGGTTCAAAAAGTAAAAAAAAAAAAACAGGACTTCAGCCAGCGTGCATGGCAGTGGTCTGTCATAGGCATTTTGAAGAGCAGGTTAAGATGGCTTTGAGAAAAGGAACCACTTGGAGACAGCATGTATTAACCCCAGGAAAAATCCCTGCACAGCTCCCCGTTCCAACAGTTGGGACAGAAAAATCTGATAGTATTGTGTTTAACCATGCCTCCTGACCAAGAAACCCAAACCTTGGGCTCATGCACAACGCTGTATAATTGCCAGTTTCTTCCATTTCATTACCTCATCTAATCATTCACATGTGCTGCCTCCTCGGCCCTTAGCTCACGCTTCAGAAGTGGTTACGCTGCAATGCGTATAAGGCGCAATATAAATGCAAATTTCACTTCTTGCAACGTAGCAGAACTGATCAAGCTCTGTAACAGGAAAGGTCCCTGCAAACTAGGTTTATTAAAGGACCGTGTCTGATAGGCCCATCAAACACTTTGCTGTGGGTTACAACAGGGGTGAGAAACTAATAAACAAACCTTCTGCTTTCAATTAATAGGTCTTCCTTGTCCACCACACAGAGAGGAAGCACACGTTAATGAAATGTTGACTGCAGCACTGGATAATGGAGCTGAGTGATTGATGAGCAGGGAAAGAGGCAGATTCAGTTTATTTGCTTTAAAATAATACTATATATAATCACGACACTTTGCTGAGAGGGCAATCGTTTCTTCAAGGCAGACCCAGTTCACTATATACAAAAAGGAGATATCATCAATCATAGAAACATTTCATGCCATCGATCAATATGCTGTTTGCAATTATTGGTCATAGCAAAAAATACTCTTAATAGCCTTATTGTTCTCACAGGGCAAAAAATGAGTTTTCTGCACAGGACGGTGCATCGGGATTAACAGTTGTCTACCTGCTGCTTAGAGAAATTAAAACTTGTCATTTTATTTAAACTAGGACCTACAGTAGGTGACATCAAACCTCTGAATCATCCAGCGGTTGCGCATCACAGACCCAGAAATGGAGAGCGCTACACAGATGTCACTGTGTAATAGCCCTTTAAGGAAAATGTGGAATCTCATCTGGAGAAGCTGCAGGTCCTCCACTGGAAGTCATGCCAGGAACTTGCTCTGGCACAATGTTATCACCTCTCTGCTCCAACAGCTGGTAATAATAATCCTGTTGGTTTGGGGTCTCACATGGGACTTTGAGCCAGTGGCCTCTGGACCTCAGCAGACTCACACAGCTTTCAGGAAATAACACTGCTATTAACATTAGTGCTCTGCTGCTATGTAGAAAAGTGGATTAAGTGTTAAGAGGACTGTCAGCTTTAGCTACTGACAGCTACTTTAGCAACGGGGACAAGTTAAGTTATTCAAGAGTATGACAGCAGTGTCTGCAGAAGACACCTGAACCCAGAACCTTCCAGTGACGAGTCCAGGTAAATAACTACTACTCAGCACCATCCCTGTACAGGAGGCACACCAGCTGGTTTGAAAATTCTTCATCAGCTTCAGTTACTTTATTTTACATTTGCTTGCTGCACTCATACATTCAGTAATGCAGCGCCTCTCTGACAGTGACAACTCAGCTCTGGCTGGGAACGCGCAGTGTGCTATTCTCCAAGAGCATGGAGCAGAAGAGTCTGCATCTTCAAATGCACTTGGCAAGCAGAGATAAACCTCACAATCTGTTTCAGGCATATCACTAGGCTTCACTCCGCGGTCACTCTGTGTGTCTATCTGTGGTGCACAGAGAGGCCTGTATCCATGCTCTGCTCTTGCTCCCCAGCACTGCAGCCAGAATTCATCTGCAAAGCAGCAGGAGAGTCTCTGGTGGGCCTGCTGTTTGTCCTCGGTAGATAACAGAATCATCTCACAGACTGGAGCTCCAGAAGTCAGTTTTTGCTTTTGCACAGGCTCGGGGATGACAGGCTGCAGGAGAGGACTGAGTGAGCATCCCATTACACAGCTGTTCCAGCCCATCTGCGGCCAAGCCCTTCAGCGACACGGTGCACATCAAGAAAAGTAAAAGAGACAGAGAGGCCGATGATTCTATTACTTGTGCAACAGGCTTCTTTTTATTCCATGAGAAATCCTGAATATAGCCAGATACGTGAATGTGATCTGAAATGAGTTAATGCTGTACCGGCCATTAAAAATCCAAGCCCTGAGGGGTTCTCAGTTAGAGAAGACAGAAAACAGGGCCACACATAGTCAGAAATGAAATCCAGAGGAAAGTTCCTACTGGTCTAAATAAAAAGCCAAAGAAGTTGCAATGATAAATGCAAAGATAATCCAGAATGGTGCTTCTGGTGATTTACTACAGTTGAACTAATTACTGTGTCAACATTCCCTAGAGTAAATGCCCACCTACACCATAGCCCAGCACTTTTTGCTGCCAACAGTTAAACACTTTTTAATTAGATGTGACTAGGTGAATGCATTTGAGTCTTTTTTATATTTTGTGCTGAAGAGGCAAAGGGCTCTTCAAAGTCTGGAATCTCATCCAGATGTTTCTTGAAAGTAGATCGATCTTAACTCTTTTAGTCTCGCTCTTGCTGTATCTGGTTAGGAAAACTAAAATAAATGTTTTCTATTTAAAAAACAACAACATAATTCATAAATGTGCAAATCAGAGAATTAATCTGATTGTTTCTAACGATTTACAATGGATCCCTCAAACATTAGAGGCATATGACAGAATGGTCCCAGCCTCCTCATAAAAAGGAAACCGATACTACATTACATTTTAATGAATTAGATCACACTAATTTTCAAAGCATAAATGCACAGAACTGTCCCTCTGGGAGAAACATAGCTTGCATGTTCCTGCAGTAGGTTCTCAGTCACAGTAAAGGAAGAAAAGAAGAAAGGAAGCACAGGCTTCCAGAGTGTTCTATTGTTTCAATATCTGATTTGCAGAAGGTACAGGTGTGACAATCATGGCCGAACCTTTTTCTCAGAAATTCTTTGGCGAGGAATATGTTATTTAATATTTTAAAACCCACATCTTTGGTTTTTGGTGGCGTGGGGGAGAGTGATGTATTCGGTTCTAGCAGAGATGAGAGAATCCTCGTCTACATCAGTAACAATTATTTCCTCCTTGATGGCTGGGAAGAATCTCTTCCATAATTGCACAGATGTATTTATTATTGCACTTTTTATCTATAATATTGTTAGGACCAATTTTGATCTCCGGCGGTAGGGGAAGTATATGACGCTGGATTATGGAATATTTTTACCAAAGTCAGTAGTAGCAGGTGGAATTGCATCAATAATTTCTTTAAATTGCTTTGGGTTGCACTCGATGTCGTATTTCTTAACAAAATCACAATACTTATATACTTCTCCATTAGCTTCTAATAGATGCACAATTGACCAGATACCTTAATCAAACCAGGAATCATGAAATATGCTCTTTCTTTTTTGCAGGATGTATCTGGTGTTCCATATAATAGAATTATGAGGGGTGACGTTATGGTTATATACTGTACTAGTTTCCAATATAACAGTACTTGTTGATGAAAAGTGGAAAGACTTAATGGGAGCTTGTTTACAGTATATCAAAGTCACATCTAGAGGTCAATGCCAGATAATTCTTCCAACAGTTCTAATAAGTATGAATGCGGCCCGTCGATTAGCGCATTTTATCTAATGCGGCCCCCATATTCATTTGAGTTTGGGGCCCCTGCTCTAACCTGTTCTGACATCTACAGCTCAACATGAATTTCTACTGGCCTTTGCTTAGATAAAAATGTCACTACAGAGAAAAATGAGGGGAAAGAGCATTGAAATGGTTCCTTGGTGACTGTAATATATTCAAAGATAAATCTGTCTTTGGACTCCTTTTTCCCTCTGATGCACCATATCATTCAGTCTATGCTCAACACTAAACAACAGTACAGTAACATGCCAGATTGTGTACAGATTCCCTTTTGTCCAGTAGCTCTTATCAAACCATTCACAGTGGCTGCAAATGACATATAGTAGTAATTGTAACATCATAGCAGACTTTTCTGGCGGATCTTTAATGGGTGGGGATTATGGGAATGCTTTATCTTATACTGCCCTGTCTGCCCTCCGACAGAGAGTTCTTTTCAGTGCTGGAGTGCTACGGCCACAAGAGTGCTCTGCTGATGGTTGATTAAAGTTATTAATCCAGCACCTTAGGCTGTCTCCTCATACGCTTGACACCACTGCAATCCCTGTGCATTAACAGTTCAGTGAGAAGCTGTGTCCACGTTCACACTATGAGAACACAGTATATTTTACTCAACCCTGCCCTCGTTAAACACTGGAAAAGGTATGGCTTCATTTGCAGCCACCCGTGACTCTTGCAAGGACATTTTGTCCTTATGAAAGCACAATAACTACATATGATCACATGCACATTACACCCTGTATTATTGAAAAATCAAAAAAAGGTTAGCTTGGTACCAGTGCTCGCTGTCAAGTCTGTGGCACTGGTGATGTAGACTCACCAGAGATGTTTTTGGTGGCCCCACCTGCCTTCTATTTTCCAAGTACATGTAACAATGCTTTTTTTGGGTATCAGATATTCTTGAAACTGAAGTATGATGGAACGTGACTGCATCAAACATTCAAACAACCAATCATGAAATTATATCACAGGTCAAATACTGCACTGATCAAAACAAAGCTGGGGGCCACCAGCATCCTGAATGGGCTTTCGGTGGAGATGATGAATCCACAAGCTATGTTTACACAGAGGATGTGGATTCATCATCCCCACCGAAAGCTCCACATATTTAAATATATTACAACATAACCCTCATTACAGCATTGCAGTAGCTCCAGTATCAGTGAAGACCCCATGACCTTCAGCATCAGTAGTAGAGCATCTCACTGCATGACCAGACTAGTCATTATTCAAAATCAAATATGATGGCTGTGACGCTGAGATCACAGCCATTCATCCCATTTATCTCTAGCAGAAAAGCTAGCTTTCTTTCCAGCACGTGAAGGTGTCAGCACTTCTCAAAATCTTGGCATGCCACAGGGCTTCTGACAAGACAATCGTCAGAGAACAGTAAAGCCAAACTTCACGTACAGATTAACACACTACAGGGCCACCACTAAGCAAGAGTGCAAAGGAGACCCGTCTTTTACATGGCAACATTAAGCATTAACAACTTCACTAAAGAGCACTGCTCTCCTTTCATCTCAAACCGATATATGTTTGATTTTTTTTATGCAGTGTGTATACTGCTGCTGCCATTAATATGCATATTAATATGCCCAGTGTGCTGCAGTCTCTGAAACAGGTTTCAAGATTTTCGCAGGCCATGCTAAAAAAGAACTTAACCTGATAAAATAAAATACATAAGGTAACTCTAAGGTACCAGAATCAGGCACTCTTTTTATGCTATGCACATTCATGACAAAACATACTGTACATCTAAGAACACTACATATTACAAAGGTACACTACAAAATACAAATGTATTTTTTAGGTCATTGAGAAGATTAACCAAGCTGTACTTATTTGGGAAATTTGGCATTGTTAAACTAAGATTCATACTATTTTGCCATACTTTTCCTGTGATTTCCTCTAGTAATAAACACACTGTATACTAAGCACTGCATCAGGACTGCATACAGAGAGAGGGCTGTAAGTCAATAGCCACCAACTGGTTGACCATCCTCAAAAGCTAAACATGACTGGGCCTGGTCAGCACTGTGATGGGAGACCTGTGTTGACGGACCAATAGGTGATGCTCTTCCCTTTGTACCAGAATTTCCAAACCTTTGCCCCAATATGGTGACCACGGACACTGGAGGAGCCTGGGATCTTGTCTACATGCTCATTGAAGAACCCATGGTACTATCCCTAGGAATATGTAGGTTAAGGAACAATAAGGCGTCCCTTGATTATGCCATTAAATCAACTTATATGCTGTGCAGTTGGGCCGCTGGTGCATGATGGAGCTGCTGGATGAGGTGGGTCCCCTCCCTACATGCTCCTAAAATGCAATCCTAAATTGAGGTCCTTTGGAATAAAAAGCTCTATATAGATCCAAGTGAATATGATTACTCTGAATATTACCCTGGACAAGAGAATTAATGAGCAAGAAACAAGGGGGTTAAGTCTGCGATAAAAAAGGAGATGCTCCCGCGAAGGAGCTGCACTCACCAGGATGGTGGTAACGGTGAGCGTGGTGTTGAAGAGCGTGTCGGACGCATTGAGGGGCCGCAGCTTCTTCTCCATCAACAGGCCCTCCTCCGAGTGCCACTGGCCAATCTGCAGGGACCAAACACACCGGGACAGGAGAGTCAGGGCGGCTCCACTGGCAAGAACTCTACAAGGAACCTACAAAAGAGTGGAGGCTGCTTGGATCGTGAGTTGATTTGAAACCTAGCAGGGATCTGACAGATGTTTCTTAAATGATCTTGTAGCGTCAGCCTGTAGATTTGGGGCAGTAGACAGGAAAAACACGGGCTCTAGGCTCTGGTTCACTGGGGTGTTTCAGGGGGATGGGTTAGAAACCCCTGGTTCAACACCAATACTAACACCTTTGTTTTAATGTGAAATCATCTGCACCAAGAAAGATCAGCAATTCTACTATGTGTGTGGGGTGATCATCTGAAAAAAAAAGAGGCATTTGTCATTGACAGCCTGCAGCACTTTTAAAATGCCTACCCACAAGAAAACACCGAGTCTAAATGCCCAAATTGTAAAAAAACTAATATTTTATGGGAAATCGGATGTGTAACAAGTACAAAGCAAAGGAAGTACATTTAATCACCCCAGTGAACTGCATCCATTTACTCAATTACTGTACATCTAACTCATAGAAGCATGAGCTCTCTTCATTAACATTAATATTATATTAAACTTTGTTTTATATTGTGCCATTAAAAGCACAAAGTGTCAAAGTGCTTAAACATATGTAAAGTCATTCCATCATAGAATACATACACCACTGAGATATCTTTGATGGTGGTGTGGAGGATTAAATATTCATATATTTAGCATTTCACATTTTAGTGACAGTTCACAGACTAGTTAATTTGCTACTCTGGTTGAAGTCTGGAACAGTAGGATTGTTCAATTAGAAATGGTCTGCTTGTCCCTTCACATCAATCTTCATTAGGCGTCTCCATCAGGGGTTTCAGTTCATTAAAAAAACACAGAAGCATGTCTCTTAATGAGGCTCTAGCAGAGAGAGGCTAGTGACTGTGGAGGTCGGTGTTCCTGAAGACCACATCGCAGAAGGGGACCGACAGAATGACTCAGGCATTAAAAAAGGCAGACTCAATGTACTGTTTGCACTGTATCAACATTACAGTGTAACAACTTTGTTGAACAATTTATTAATATGATCAATAACATACCTTTTGACATGGAAGCACATTAAAAATTGAGAACAAGAGTTACTTCTTTACCCAAAGCTACACAGCTATGTGGTTGAATCCGATACCTTGGGTTCCTTCAAGAAACAGCTGGCTGAGATCCTCAGATCAATTAACTGCTGATTACCAAATGGGCAAGGTATGACTTGTAGCAAAATGTGGTAAGAAAATCAAGAAAAAAGAACTTTCAAAAAGAAAATACTAAACTGCCAGTACAAAAGACAAGAGTAGTGAACAGGTGGAGACAGCTCTCAGGCTATGCAGTGCAATACAGAGCACACTCAAGCGAGACTTAAAATTAATTTTGCCTCTGAAAGTTTCATCTTGTTAACATGTTGAACCACAGAAATCCCTTAAAGAGCGGCAGCTTGCTTAAATCAATCAGAGCCTTAATTTGACAGCCATTTAGCAAATCGCACAACAACACCATGCTCATTCACAATTTAAATAATCCTCCCTCAATGCAGTCAATGATTCTGAAGTGTCATTATTTTTTATCCTGTTTGAAAACTAAATCTCAGTCCATCTGTTGCTTCATCACATACATTCATTTTCTATTGAACTGCAAACATACAAGACCTTTCCATTCCTCCATTATCAGGAAGCCAATTATTTCTGATAGGGAAACTCAGAATCCCGCTTTGGAAGCAGAAGGCAGAAGGTAAGATACCCTATGGCCAGAATGCCAGTGAACATACTGTACACGCAAGGACAGTGCTGCTGGTCTTTGGGACGTGGGAGGAAACTGGAGCACTCAAAGAAAACTCCCAGAGACACTGGGAGAACATACCACACAGTAGGTGTAACGCTGCTCTGAAGAGGTGAAAAGGATCCAATGCAGATGCAGGAGTCGTAGGGAGGTAAGTAAGCGAACAGACCGAAACTAGGAGCTGAATCGTAGTCAGGAGGTGTAAGGTAGGTCGAAATCCGGTAGAAACACTGGTGGCGAACAATCCAAAACGTGAAACAGAATCGAGGTCAAAAAGAGAGCGGTGGTAATCCGGTATGGACACTGATAGCAAAAAGTCCGAGGGGCAAGGCGAGATCCGTAGTCCGAAGGCAAAAAGGTGTAGTCCAAAATTCCAGGAAGGCAAAAAGATAGAGAAACGCCGGGTAGAGCTTACGAGAAGTTAACTCAATACCGAGCAACGGGAAGCAGGTTAGAATGGTATAAATAATCCGGCGTGCCGCACGGTAGGGCAATTGCACGTGTGTTAACGCGTGCGGCGGCGCTTGTTAATAGTAAGCTGCTGCCGGTGCGGATGAGCTCACTTACGAGTTGATCTCTGCTGGCTGGCGGTCGTGACAGTAGGCTCAACAGGACAGAATCGAACCCAGGACCCAAGAGCAGCATGGCATCAGCTTTAACTGTGCCACCCAACCTTCTTTCCCAGAGTCTGGTTCACCCCTATCATCACTGATATTTCTCACAAATTCTAAATGAGAACTTGAAAAGTGCTATAACAAACATTTTTATTTTGTTAGTTTTAAAGAAAAGCCCACATAAAATCAGGATATTTGAAAAAAAGTCTGGAATCAGAATCGTAATCCTGATTAAGACTGGTTTTGGTAGAGCAGGTGACATCTTAAGAAAATCCAGGTGTCATAAAAAGATGAATGTCTCTTGTTCTGCCCCGGGGGGAGGTGCAGGAGGGGGTGAGCAGGTGTCTTTGATTTCTGTTTGGCGCCGATTGGACAGTTCCAGCTAAAACCTCAAAACCGTGACAGCAAAAGAAGAGGAGGCACTTGTGATTCTACATGGCGAGACGTGAATGAACGTGAGGACTATATCTGCATGTTAAGCTGAAAAACTGGGCAAGTGCTGCCAAATCCGGGCAGAGCTGGCACGCTAAGCAGGACCCGGAGAGTCTCCTTTCTGCCAGCCGAGACAAAGGAAAAGGATTTACTTGGATCCGTTGGGCAACTATCCCACAGCACCTGCACACAACATTGGCCATTACACATACCAACTAAGAAAGGCAAAGCAAGCAGGAGCAACAGACATCATTCACTCAAATCACTGTTGTTACGAGACAAAATGAAAAAATAACATTTACCTGGAAATCCACATCTCTATTAGTCTCAGTGATCCGGAGTCCCTGAAGTTTCAGTTTTTCTCTGTGCACCACACACGCCTTTAGGTGGTGCATAACACTGCATCAGGACTTTTTACAGATTGAAATTGAAGACTAAAATAAATCCTTATTGTTGTAAGTATATTGTCTGTCACTAGATGTGCCCAAACCCATGTGCTGAAATTTAGCTGAAAAATACTTTTTTGCTGTAGGCAAAGGTAGTAGCAGAACTAGCAACCTAGTGCAAAACTATCTTCATTAAAGAACCCAAGGTAAAACAAATGAATTCGCTGAATTTTGACCGGAACAAGACAATTAAAAACAACTATGATTAATCAAAGCAGACAAATTTCCTTCATTAATCCCTAAGATATATATCAAGATGAATGTCAAGACGTACTGTAGCTCATTCCCCTTTTGAGTTTAATCCCAGAGAACAATTTTATGTTCGGACATTTTCAGAATTTCAGGAGCCCCAGACAATCAGAGCTTCACAAAAAAGCAATGTGATGATTTTTAAACTCACAAGTGTGGGGTTAATATTGGTCTAAATAATGTAATTTCTTTCATTAGATTTAGTCATGGGAGCCTTCCACATTACAGCAGAATAGATTTGGAATAGCAAGATTTGTTTTTTAAAAATCAAAACCTAAAATAAATAGAATGGCACTTAAATAGAGGTGTTTCCTAAAAGCCAATTTATTGTACTGTATTTTCCAAAATGCCTTCTTTCTTTGCCAATAATAATCCAGTAATGTCTCTAAATAATAAAAAAATAGCAAATAGTAAAAATAACCATTTTCATTTATCTAATTTGCATAAATAATCTTGTACACATTTTCAAAATTATGAAGCGCACATTCTAATTGTGTTACAGTTATGCACCCTCTGAACACAGCTGCAGAAGAAGCCTGGTGGTCCTGCTATCACAAATAGGCTGAGGTCTCTTTGCTTCTGAAGACATGAAGATTTGTAGAGATACTCCTTTGTAAATCACTGTCAAAAAAATAAAGCTTAAAAAGATTTGAGTCATGGCTTCCCAACCTATCCTGAAACAGTCCATGAACCAAATACCGGACAATCTTTTTTAGGATTTACACTAGAACTAAAACTGTGGTTACTATATTCTTAAATGAGAATTCACTTGTGTTTTACACCTAATGCTACAATATCCATGTTTGTAATGCAATACCACCCTGTAATGCTAGCCAGCTCCTATGCCAAAAATACTTTCTGTAAAATCTCTTTCAAGTGCACTGTGAGGAAGGACACTGGGGATGGAAACAGAGATCACTCAGTGCTCTGAATCCCATTTACTGAGTGTACTGCAGCATTGCAACACCCAGATCCCTTCCCCTTTTCCTTGCACCCCTCCCCATTATTTTCAGGGGCAATCAGAATGGAAAGAGACACTGGTGAATGATAATCTGAGCAATACTCCCACGCAGAACCCCAGTAGGACATGAAGAAATAAAAAGATGAGATAATCGCCCAAAAAAACAGATGTTATGAATGACATCATTATCACTTTGCACCACTTTTTTTCCCACATTCATTCCACTCAGTGCTGATAAAGGGCTGCTGAGTGTTCTGTAACTAAGGCTAAATGAAGTCTTAACACACAACATATTGAAAAGCAGCAGGATGAAAAGGCCTCTTGCCTACGCCTTTACTGGGACAGATAGAAATGTCCTTGAATTAATATAGCAAGAGCCGCCTTTGTTAAGTTTACCATCTTTGCTGTGAACCAGCTTTGTGTTTGCTCTTCATAAATTCCATTTGGGGTGAGCATGCTAACAAGTGCAAACACTTG